CKCASTTGATTTGCGATGTTCCTTACCTGTTCAATTTGCGCTTGYAGTTCTTGGCACTGTTCGYTGTGTAACGTTTTCACTTTCTCCACAAGCGATGTAGTTCCATGGATTTCAGTATCTTTATTCTTGACGGCTTCTTCTAGTTTTTTGACATTTTCTGTTTTACTTTTTATTTCGTCTCGTAAGGTCCTCATTTGATCGGTAATTGACGTTTGTTCTGAATATTTGTTATCCAGTTGTCGCTCAAGGTGACTTATCTGGGAGTCTTTTTGGCGTATCTGAATAATCAACAATCATAAATAATTATTTATTCTGAAACGACTGAAAAAGACTTTGATAATTTCGAGTCGCATATAAATAATGAGTTTGCTCAACTTTATGACATCGAACGCGCGTTTCCTATTACGCATGCGTATATCACTTTTGAGCTAATCCCACATGGATGAGTTCGTCTTCTTGTGCAAAATATTCATATCAGCAGAATTAATACAATAACGCGTTATTACGCGTTTTACTGAAATGTACTGCACGCTGTAGCGGAAACAGCCTTTCAATTGCTGAATTTTCTTTCATGACGATCATCATTTTTCTACTTACATCTCTCAATAGTTCATTAATCTCCGTTATCTTTCCCTCTAGTTCTTTCTGTAAATCCACTATCCTTAGATTCCTCTGTCCTAACTTTTCTTCCATGGATGCAATATGCGACATTTTGTCTGCTAATCGTTCTTCTAATTGGATATTTTGTGATGAATATCGTGATATYTCGTCTTCAAGTCGTGTTACCATTTGTTCAAGTTCATATTGCTTCCTGTCACCCATACGACTTCGTTCCATGATGGCGGACAGTTCTGATCGTAGGTTGTCCATGGTACCTCCATCTCCTGTCAAACCTATTGTATTGCAATATACTGTGTTTTAGATGAAAGTGAAAGCCTGAGAAGAGTGGATGAAAGAAAAGGAAAGTGGGATTTGATGAACTTTAGTCCTCAAAAAGGTAAGGCAAAACAAACACTGCATTTGCCTTGTAAGCTACATGTAAAATGAAGAAATTTTATTTCCCTTTTGTCGATATTTTAACAGAGTATTTCCCACGAAAAATGAAATAACATRATCAATACCATGATGCAATGCGCCAAAAGAAACATGACGTCACAAGGTGAAAATGTCAATCACAGTAAGCAATATCTAATCGCATCAAAGTCCCTACCAGCGATATGTTTCTGTTGTGCAGCCGCTCTGGCTACAGCACCAGCTTGCAGTTTCTGGATCTCAGCCTCTTTCATGGCCAGTTTGAGCTTCAAGTCAGCAACTAAAGCTCTGGTCTTTCCTGGACT